GTGCTGGTTTTTCCTTACTTGCTGAACGTGTCTTCCCCACCCCCACCAGATCTACTGTTCACCCTTCCTTGCCCTTCTCTGTACCCTGGGAGGCTGACAGGGGTGGGAGAGATGGGCTTGGGATCTTGTCGCCATCCTCTTCAGGGCTCTCTCTGGCAGGGGTGCTTCTCTTTATCCTGCTGGATGGCCTTCTTCCATGGTCCTAGTGTGCACAAGGCTCTTAATAACTCTGTTTTCTTCCCTTTTCAACCCTGGGGGTGGTCAATAGTTTCCACCACCTGTTACTAGGCCTGGGGTGCAACAAGGTCTCTTGTCACTCTCTTTGCCCTGCTCACACCTCTTTATGGAAATGTTCTATTAAAGCCTCTTCCTTTGAACCATCTGGGCTGAAGTCTGTTTCCTGATGGACTCCTGACTGATCCAGAGATCTTGGGACAAACAGAAATGCTTCCAGGTTAGTCACTGATTATAACTTGCACCTGACTTTCAGAAATGTTCAAAATGTATGGTTTACAATAGAGAAAAGATGGCAGATTCACTCAGGCATGGTGGATAGAGGACCATTTATCATTAAGTCATGGACTTTGCTTCTGACCTGACAAGGCTGGGAGCACAGGTAACAGGCGAGCACTGAATGTAAAGCCGGGTGAGAAGGGTTTGCGTTCAGACTCTGGTTGGGAAATCTTGAGGAGGTTGCCTTGCCACTCTGTTCCTCAGCCTCCTCTTTGCCAATCCAGAGTGACCCTGATTGTTGTCACATCCCTGGAAGGGATGTTGTATGAGGAGAAACGAGACCATGTATGTGAAGGGGCTTCATGAACTGTCCAGCACTCGGACAGGAGGGCCAGTGCAGTCCAGCCAGGCAGTCATTTTGGTCAGGAGTCAGACATCAGACTGGGAGGGACAGAGGAGGAAACACCTCACTTTAGTGCAGGGAGGTCCCAAGACCTGAAGAGGCAATGAGAAGGCAGCCCAAGTTACCTTTTCCTCCCCATCTCATTTTATGATTTCTTCTGGCACTTGACATGACCTTTCCTTAACCTGAGTGATAGTGGTGGGCGGAGAATTAAGGAGCACCTCTAAGTGTAGGACAGAGTCACGCACAAGATGAAGTCCATGCTTTCTGGGGACCAGTAAGAGAGAAACAAAGACATTCCAGTAGGAGGCAGGTCATGCATGTCCTGTGTGAGAGGAGGAGCCTGGTGTCATAGAGGATCAGCCGCACTTCCAGCTGGGTCACTAACCCTCTAACTAATTCTCCTGGGCAAGTTACTTCATCTCATTTTCTTGATCTGCAACCAGGGAATAATACCCACCTCTAACTTTTGTTGGGAGGATTGCATGAGACAATCCCTTAAAGTATTCTGCCTGGTAAGTGTTCAATAAAGATTGGCCCCTATTCTTCTTAGTATCTTATTCCAGAGAGTCAGAGAATCCTTTGTCACTGGGTGATCCTGGAATGATTCCCCACGGAGGGGGTCATGAACTGGGTTTGAAGGCTAAATTCTCGGTTTGGCATTCAGTTAGTCGGAGGCAGCAGCTGCACCAGTTGGTCGGTCCCTCAGCATCAGGGTGCTGCTCTGTGCCTGGCGCTCAGGGACTGAGAGGTGAAGGCCGGCTGCAGATCGCGGGCCTCCCGGCGGGCAGAGGGAGCCAGCGCAAATTCTGGAGCCGGGAAGGCCGGGATCAAAGCGCTTCGAGGCAGGCCGGGGCGCACCAAAGGGAGGCTAGCGACTTACATCAGCACAGATTCCGTGATGCTCTGCAGACGTCTCGGGGCTGCTGGGCTTTACGGGAACCCACAAGAAAGGAAAAGGCTGGGGAGCAGGCAGGGCGGGGGCAGGCGAGGGCGCGAGGGTGCGCTCGCCCGCCCGCGCGCTCCTGGCGGCGCCTGCCCCGGCCTGGACGCGCCTGGGACGGCGGAGGCCACGGAGGAAGCATAGGCTCTCTTTCCCCCTCCTTCTTTCCCCCCGAATTACTGGAAGGACTGTGTGGGAGAGACCCAGAAGCACTCGGATTTTCAAGCGCAGGGTGGGGGAGGGCCGGGTAGCCGCTGCCGCTCAAAGAAAAACTAAAAGTGCGTCTGTGAGCGCCGCTTGGACACGCGGCTGCTCCCAGGAGGGCGCTGGACGCCCGGACCGCGCCTGACTTTGCAGCCCCACCTAGGAGCTCGCCAGGGCGGCCGAGGACCGTGCGGTGCGGGAGGTGACGGAGGGGCGAGTCAGAAAGTGTCACGATTTCTTCTCCTGCGCTCCCCCCACACTGTCCCCACCCCCAGTTTTCTGGGTTTTGCCGCTGCCGCTGGGGAAAGGGCTGAACGGTTTTGCGTCAAAGGACTACATTTACTCAGTCCTGCTGGGAGAGGAGCGTAAACACATCCCAGGCAGGCAGGACGCAGGATTAAAAAGAGAGAGAGAGAGATGGCAAAAACGCCAAGCCCCGCGCTGGGTGCGCGCATCCATCTGCCTCGCACTTCTCGCCCCGACCCGCGGAGTTGCGGACGCTGCGCTGCAGGCAGCGAGGGAGGTGCGAGGAGCTCAGCCAGCCTCGCCTCTCCACGCGCGTCCTTGGGGATGGAGCCGAGGACAGAATGTGTTTTATAGTTGTAAACAATGACCCCGAGTATTGTTTAGGATTACAATCTTGGGGCCATTGGGGCGGCCAGATGCCGCCAGCCGTCCCGGAAACGCCAGCGCTTTATATAGAGCCACGGGAAAGCTTTGAGTTCCCGGCTAGGTTCTATTTTTCTTTCCTAGCAACACCCCCACTTTACAGATAAGGAGACTGAGGGCCGAAACTGTGATGTGTTACAGTGCACAACGCTTCACAGCCTTCACGCATCTTCCCGCTGGTACATTAAGAGCTGGGTACGAGACTAAGGCAAAGCGTGGAGTAGAATTCGACTTCCTTGACTCCTAGTACAGTGCTCCTCCGGATCATTAACTCTGCAGGACTGAAGTTCCAGAACTGACAAGGGCCTTAGAAGGTCATGTCTCAATCCCTTCGTTTTACAGAAAGAAACTGAAGCCCAGAGAGGTTAAGAGACTCGCCCAAAGTCTCACAGCTCGTTAGAGGCACAGCTTGGCGTTCACACTCCAGGGCCTGTGCTCTTTACCCCGCACCTCGCCCCGCCCCGCCCAGCGAGGCGGGAGAAGCTAGGAATCCAGACTACCTACTGCCTGAACTTCGCTCCAAAACAGCTGAAGACAACGTTGGGGCACGCCCTCTCTCGGGCCTCCCTCTTCCCTGTTTTTTTTTTTCTTTCAAATTCGTAACAGTCGAGGTTGCTTATAATGCCCGATTACTCCTATTAGATGCGTCCTAATTGCCCAGCATAGAGGGCGGCCGGAATGTCTTGACTGGTTTATTTCGTCTTAAAGGCTACTCCTAACAAATTAATTGCAGGGCCGAAAAGAAAGGGAGGGGGGCGAGAAGCAGTGGGCAGCCAGCCGCGTAAGGGAAAATAGGCAGGCCGGCCCCGCCCGGCGGCGTTGCGCCCCGCCAAGACCCGGCCGCAGGGAGGCGCGGATACCCAGGACGCCCAGGGCGCCCGCTGCTCCGGGTGGCGCCGCGAAGGGCGCCGACGACCGTGCACGGCCGCGCCCTCCCTGCGAGCGGCTCTGTGCGCCCGGCTCCCGGCCTCGCGGTGGCGCCGCACTGAACCGCCCGTCTAGCTCTTCAGGACTGTGATTATTTTCTGAAACCCGGCGCCGAGGCCCGCGCGGCGGCTCTCAGGGGCCCCGCCCCGCGCCCCTTCCCCGGGCGGTGGAGAAGGTGGGGAGCCCGTGGCGCGCTCGGGAGCCGGCGAGGGAATCCCTCTCCCTCCACGTCACCCGAAAGCGAGGAAACCCGCACTCGCATCCTCTAACGCAAATGACCATCTTTGGCAACGTGCGCCAGTGGAACAGACCAAGGGCGCGTGGCCCGGGGGGGTGGGGATGGGCCAGGCTGCCTCGGCTCCCCCAAACCGCGCCAGCGGTCCGCTCCCACCCCCGCCACCGCCTTCCTTCCTCGCACGGGGTGTGCGGCTGGCGTCAGCGCGGCCAGGAGCCGGGGCAGATAGGGGAGCGCAGCGCCCGCCTCCTCCTGCGCGTCTTCCTCCTCCTCCCCCTCCTCCTCGGCCTTCTCCCCCCGCCTCCCCGCGCGCTCCTCCCTGCAAGGTGGAGTCGGGTTGACGTGAGGTACAGGGGCTGGAGAATAAAGAGTGTGGAGTTGAAATCGTGCCATTGTAGTGACTCATCTCGGGCAGAGCGCTGGGGCTCCGAGCAAACCAGCGAGCAAGCGAACGGTGCTCGGCGGGGACCGAGAGAGGGAGAGAGAGAGGCGCGGACGGGCGAGGCGGGCCCGTCCGGGAGCGGGCGCCGGGGAAGGGGTGCAGGTCCGGGCGCCGGAGCCGCGGCACCGCGTCCCTCTCCACGCCGGCTCAGCTGGATCCTCGCGGGCTGGGCGCAGGCTGCCTTCTTCTCCTAGTCAAGTGTCCGAGCCGCTCCAAACTCCGGCGGCGAGTCGGCCACAGGAAGTTTATTCTCAGCTCCTTTTCTAAAAGGAGGAAATAGAAGTTTCTCCAAGCGGGCTGCCTTTTTTTTTTTCCTTTCTTTTCTGCCCTGACATCGGGGGTACCCAGACCTGGCAGGCTTGACCCGCCGGGTTGACTCCCATTCTTTTTTAATTACCGATTTTTTGATTGAGCCGGCGGTCCAGGCTGGGCTCCGATTGCGCGCGGGGGCGGGAGGGCGCGCGCAGGGGAGGGACCGAGGGACGCGCGGACTTTTTAGAGGGAGGGACTGGGTGGACAACTGGTCCCGCGGCTCTCGCAGAGCGGGAAAGAAGTGGTGTAGCGCTCGGCGCTCAGGGGACCCTGTTCCCGGGGTGCCTCCGCCGAGGGGGACAAGCCCGAGGCGCGGCCAGCAGAGAGCCAGCGCACAGCAGCCGGTGCGCGGCCGCGGCGAGGGCGGGGGAAGAAAAACACCCTGTTTCCTCTCGGGCCCCCACCGCGGATCATGTACCAGGATTATCCCGGGAACTTTGACACCTCGTCCCGGGGCAGCAGCGGCTCTCCTGCGCACGCCGAGTCCTACTCCAGCGGCGGCGGCGGCCAGCAGGTAGGTGCGAGCCCCGGGTGCACCTGGCGACGCGGGTGGACCCCCGCCTTCCTCTCGCCGCCACTGCCTCTTTTGCTTTCTTTGACCTTTCTCGGTTTGGCGAGAAAATTCCTACGGGCCACCATTGTAAGTTCTGAATTCTCATCTCCTGCCCACACCTCCTTTCACCCCCTCTATCCTCGGCAACACTTTTTTTTTTTTTTTAAACTGGAGCGGCGATTGGACTGAAAGAGCCTACAAACCCTGCCCTTCACACTACATCGTATCCTGACAAGCTCTTGGAATTGCAGGTCCCGTTCCCAGAAGCCTGTACCTCCCTCCTGTCCCAGGAATTCATCTCCATTCCCCTCTATCTCCGTGGTGGACTACCCGCCCCCCCCCCAATTTTTCACGCGCGGGCCCCTTCCGACATCTAGGGAACTTATTCCTGCAAAAAAGCCCTCTCCTTCTTCCCCCACCCCGACCCCGCACCTTCTCCCGCCGTTGGTCTTAGTTAATTTCGGAAAGAGGTTGGGGACTGGGAAACTGGTTGGACTCCTTCAAGTGATCCAGAGTGAGGGCGAGAGTTGTCACTCAGGGAATTAGGTGCGAAGGTCAGGAAGGAGGAGGTCAGCTTGATTGGCTCCGGCTGCGTGCGCCTGTATGCCCTGCGCCCATCCACCTCCTGTTAGGGTCGGACTAGGAGCCTAAACTGCCACCCAAAGGGGCACCTTGGGGTCGGGGGAGTACCTGGGGCCAGGACGGCTGCAGAGAGAAGGGAAGCTGGAGAGACCTCCTCTAGGCTCCTGAATGGTTCTGGAAGCCGAGAAATAACTTGTTTCTAAAGCAGGCGGACTGGTTTGCACTGGTGGGGTTGTGTCTGCTATCTCTGTCTATAACTACCAGAAAGGTGCTGCTAGGTTGGTGGTGCCGGTGGGGTGCCTGCCCTCTGCAGCAGCAACCCCCCACCCCACCCACCCACCCAGAGGCTTGTGAGGGAGCTGACTTAACAAACAAGGCTGCTAGAGCCTGAAGCCCGTTTTGGTCAGGATCTGCCGAGTCTCTAGCCCAGTTGACTGCAGCAAGAGTTGCTCTGGTTAGGCGGTGGCCTTGGCATCAATAAGCCAGCCAACCAGGAAGGGCTGGGGTGGGCTTCCAGGGAGGAGGGACCCTGATGGAGAATAAAATGGAAACGTGGCTCTCTTTAGTAACTGAGGAGGGATCCCTTATTCCAAAGTGGTTCCCCATACCTTGTGGATCCTCAGAATGGCTTTTCCGTGTCTTCTCTCTACCTGCCCTGGTATCCCCATAAGCACCCACTGGAGAGAGACTTGTCAGTGCATTGAGGGTGCAGTCAGTGAATGCACACTTAATAATGAACACTAAGGTGATGAGTTTCAAATCTTGTCCCAAAGTGATTTTGTTTGCTTTCCAGCCCCATTGGTGGTTTCTGTTGAATCCAGCCATCATTAGGCAATGGGTTGGAGTCCTTTGAAATCTATTCCCTCATTCTCCAGTTCAGCAGCCCCAAAATGTCCCTCTCTGCCTTTCCAAATCAGGAAGGAATCTTTTGATTTCTCATCCGCTCCTTTGGCTGCCGTTTCTGTGGCAGTCATCACTGAAATGTTACAACCTTGCAGCCAGGCTTTGCTCAGACCCTGGGGCCTGGATGGGAAGTCAGACCGGACATCAGTGCCCCGACTGAATAATCTGTGTCACTAGGGCTTTGAGCCCAGGATGTGAGTGGAGGCAATTCCCTGTTTTGGAAGAAAATCAGACAGGAAACCAGGGCTAGGAAGAAGGAAGAGAACTCAGTCCAGCAGAGTGTAATGGGGCCTCATTACCGAAGCAAAAAGCAGCTGTTGGCTAATTCCTAGCGTGCTGTAACACATGAGGATTTTGCAATTAGTAATAACTGGTGCACGGGGTTCTTGCGTATGTGCCTGTCCATTCGGCCCAGCAGCTCAAGCAAGGCGCCTTTCAACCAGAGGGATTGGTAAGGTAATGCCGCTTTGGGCAAGTTTTTCAGCCTGTCCACTCCTGAGGGAGGAGGTGGTGGGAGGACGGGAGAGGGTTTTTCCATCATCCCTGTAACTGGGAGCAGAGCTGTTCTGTGGTCCTAAGAGCTGACGTGAGAAGCTTTTGTTACTTCACATGTCTGTGACCCCACCCGGGCTCAAGGTAACTTTATTGCATACCAGATAAAACCTGTAATCACTTTATTTCTCTTAGCTTCCTTTATGGAGAGACTTTCCTGGCAGTTGGTGATGGGCCTTCCTCCTTTTGTGGCAGCTCAGTGTAAGAGCTCTGGTTTTACCTCGGGCAAGTGAATATTATTTTTTTCTCCTCTCTTTGTTTTTGTGGGGTCTAATATTCCTTCGAAATTTGTTGCTGTTTACTCAGTCTAGTACTTTCTTCTCACTTCATGAAGCTTGGTCTTAACACATGGCCGTGAGTTTCAGTGACTTGAGGGGGGCGGCAGATAAGTCTTTGTTAAAACCTCTGTTCTTGTATGTGGCAGGAACTTGAAGCATGAAAAATATTTCCTGTTCCAGTTATAGTTTTAATCTCAGACGTTGGTCACTGGTGATTTGATTTGCCCCTAATAGTTGCACACACACCCCCACCCCTGGCTTTTTCTTTTTATTGTTGTTTTCTCTCTTTCCTAACTTTCCTAGGAAAACACCTCCCAGATATATGCCCTGGCTGACTGCTCGACTCACGGTTTCAGGCCCTGAACATTACGCAATCCAGCCAGTTACACAAACATAGGTCATTTCATAACTTGTTTTCATCAGCTTGGCCCCCTTTTAATGAAAAAACAAAACAAAAACAAGACCCAGAACTTTTCCAAGGCTGCCATTTGTCTGTTTCTCAGATAACTTGTGAAAATAAATCAAAGGGGACAGTTCCTTTTTGGAACCAAGGAATACCAGACTAACTCTCTTCTTTGGCAACCATTCTTTTCCAAGAGACAGACAGACACACATACATGCACACACACACACAAAATTCCCCAGAGTGAACTTTTGCCAACTGTACCAGGCTGGGACATTCCTCACATCAAAGAACTTTTACCAGAAATGACTGTGATTCCCAAGTCAGCCCCAATCATGCCTCTCTAGTGCCCCCTACGGGACATTCTTAGAAGAACTATCTGGGGAATGTATTTTTCCAGCCCCAGAGTGTTAACTTGGTGAGTTTTCCAAATTCTTAGGACTTTTTTTTTTTCTTTTTAATTCAGGACAAATAAATGCCATATATTTAACAGTGGTTAACTAGGAGTTGCTTGACTCCGAAATGCAGTTTCTTTTCTAATTTTATTTTGTTCTAAATAAAGCGTGGTTGAAAAAGGAGTGCTTTTTTCTTTCTGTTTTTATATCTGTTCATTGCCAGCACAATGTCTTCAAATTCAGAAGGCTTGTTTTCTTGATATTATTTGTAGTAGGACACTGGAAATTGTTTGAGGAGATGGTCTTCAGAATTGGTGGGAAGGTGGGAGGTGTATATTAAGGGTCTGGTGCCCTTTTTATTTTTTTGCCTTGATCTCACAGATGTTGTAGATTAGGATCAGACAAAATGTTATCCCAGGAATTTGTCTGTTCCGCTGATTCTTGCTGGTGGAAGTCAGTGTCACTGGTTCATCAAAGTGAATGGGGTGAAGCAGCAGTCACATCTTGTCTGAGGAGCAGTTGAATTTTCCTATCCAAAACCCTGAGTGCATTTCCATTGCTTTATTTCTACCTGCCTCATTATTCAAGGTGAGTGTAGAGTTAGGAGCCTTTGTTTTTTTCTTTCCTGTCTTAATACAAACACACCAGAACTTATGCATCCAAATCAGCTGTTGTCCCCTTCATAATCGTTCCTTTAGGAGACTAAATTCTTATTTGGATGCTGTGGCTATTAGTCAGACTCAGAAAGATTCTACAACACCCCTCTTTAGAACTGTCTTCAGCAAATTCTTTTGAAAACCCTCCCTCCTAACATATTTTTGTCTTTTGAGGGTGAATTTAATATTTGGAAGTTATCAAAAGATCTGGCATAGAAGGAACCAAGGGTGATGTGTGAGGTCTGGGTGATCTGGCAAGGTCCGAAGCAGGATGTGACCCCAAATCCTGCTGGTCTCCATCTCAAGAGTCTTCCTGGGAGAGCAGTCGCCAAGACAAGGCACACCAAAGCAGGCACCTCTGCCACCTAGACCTTTCGTTTCCCGCCCCCCCACCCCCGGCCCATTACAGAGGAATAAAGGCACTGATTTTGAGAATTCAGGAGGCTAGGTTTCTCGTTCATCCGTTGAAAGAAAGAAAAAGAATTAGTGTTTTGTGACTATGTCTCTTCCATGCTGTGTGTGGCATCTTTTGTGGCCACAGCATTTCAAAATGACAGCAGCTGCCCTGATGGAGGCAAATAAATCTATTCCCATCCCCAGTTGGTAACTCTGTCCCTCTTGGACTCACTGGGCCAGAGAGGGAATGTGTAAGAGTCGTCTTATCCAATGCCATCTCACCCCCATCATGGGGCAATGACTTGGCCGTGCTCACCTGCTGTGGTTGTAGAGAGGATGAGATGGCCTGCCCTTCCCAAGGAGTGCAAAGCTGTCTTAGGATTTGTGGGGGTACCGAGTGGGGTCTACAGAGGGTGGGGGGTATTCTGTCTTGCTTTGGAGTGGAATTTCTGTCCAAAAGGGCCCTGGAAGGAAAGACACGAGGGAACCTGGTAGACAACTCAGTATTGGTCACCTTCTTTTCCTTGCTTTTTTCTTTTCTTTGCTGTTCTTCACCCTAGCAGTTAGGTGAAGGAGGATAACGTGATTCGTTCAAGTGAACCTGGCAGGAAGCAGATCACTTGGAAAATGGGCGGGGGGGAATTATGAGTTATTGATGACCATTTCCATGGTGACATTAGTACTGAACCTCAGGAATGAAAGGTCAAAGGTCAAGGTGATGTCTCATATAAAATCTATGAAAATTAGTCAAATTCCACAGAGAAGCCCTTGGAGAACACCCCATGTTTAGTAAAAGTACAGAGCATTTGAGTCAAACTGAACCTCTGGGGCATATGAGGCAGCATTCGCCCTGCCCTCTCCTCTTCTCCCAAGGGAGTCTCCTGGGATGTTGGAATTTTCCTTTTCCTGTGCTGGGAAACAGAAAAAGGGGTTTTTAAGAGAGAGAACCCAGTCTCTTCTCAGACATGTATAATCATTTCTACCTGTCAAGGCAGGCCCCAGGTATTCAGGGTTTTGATGACTTGAGTGCTTGGTGGCCCAGTCAAGAGTCAACCTGGTGGAGAAATGCCTGGCTGAGGGGATGGATCCTGAACACCAACTCTGATTCCATCTTAAATGCCGCTTCTGGGCCCCTCACCCCAGGAGTTTCTGGGATAGGCCCTGCCACATCCATGTCTGCAGGAAAGCAAACCCTACTTCCTAGATCTTTCTGAACCTGAGGCCCTATAAAGTTCAGAAAGGTCATTTCCCCAAGTTAGCAACTTCTGGACTGTAGGGACCTCTCTGGTCTGATGAAGCTGGGTAACACTAAAGGCCCCGTGCTCTGAGCTTTCTCATAGGCAGCAGGAGGATACACATACTTACTGAGTGGCCCCAAGGCTCCCTTAAATTCAGGTTGCTTCAGGATAAGGAGGTTCTGCTGCCCAAAGACCCACATCAAGGCTTGTAACCTCAACTTTCGGCTTCAGGTTCTGGAGATTCACGCTGTCTAGTGAGAGTCCATTGTTTGACTCCCTGGGTTAGAAGAATGGTTCTGCTTTTTTGCTTTCTCATTTCCTCTCTTAATTCTTTTCCCTTCAACCTGAGCTTATGAGATGAGAATAATCTTCTAGGACAGAGGTCGCCAAACTATGGCCCAAGTATTTTTGTAAATAAGGCTTAAGAGAGCACAGGCACGCCTATTTGTTTACATCTCGTCTGCGGCTGTACTCACGCTACAGTGCCCGAGTTGAGTAGCTGCAAGAGACCTTATGGCCTGCAGAGTCTAAAATATTTACTATCTGGCCTTTTACAGCAAAAGTTTGCCAAACTGCCAAAGGAGGTTGGGGGGAGGGGGGCAATTTGTCCTTTTATAGGCATTCTTGCCCACCCAGAAGTCAACAGGATGACACAGTTAAATAAAGCATTTGGAGGCTCTGCCAGACTGGAATACCACATAGCCATCCAGCACCTTCCATGCTGTCCTTAGGGGAGGAGTTTTCAAGGGAGTGGAGAGCCCCAGGGGGGTCAAGTGAGGGCCCTGGGTTACCTCCCGTAGCCCCCCACCCCCAGCACACCAACATTCCTGTTGGTGCTACAACAGGGATCAAACCACCCTATACCTACAGCTGAGAAGCCCCATCTTGGTTTCTGTTTGGTGTTAACCCATTGGTAGAGAACTGTGATTTCTCCCCAACATGACATGTGACTGATTCTTGGGTCCTTGGGAGAGAAAAATGCCAGGCTAACTCCTGGGACCACAAACTCTGAGGCTCACCTCTTCTCTCCAACCCATGTCACTTTCTGGAAAATACTTTCAGAGTTGACACAAAACACAAATCTGCCAGCTCTCACTTAAAAACTTTGTGTGTGTCTCAGAGAGCCTTCTGCTGGAGACAAAAGACTTCTTTAGCAGAACCTCAGTCCCCTCTGGGGCTGGGACATTGTTTTCCTTGCAGTTCAGAAGCAGTGTGTTGCCCAGATGCCTTTTCCTCTCTCTGAAACGAGTTGTACATGCATTTAGAGGCAGTCATTACCTACTGCCTTGTTTTTATTGCGTCTTGTTTTGTCTAGACCAAGCTACTGCTGCAAGGAATCTGGCTGATGGCCGGGTACGGCCTTCTGTAGACCTGCCATCACAGAGAGAGTGGACCGGAGGACCCCCTGAGAGGGGCTGAGAGTCTGCCACTTAGTCCTAAGCGGAATTAGTCTTTTCAGCTTTGCTTCAAGCTTTTGGCTTTCCTCCCCTCGCCTGAAATGGGAGCTCTTTTGTTTGTTGGAATGAGGAGTCAACTTCTTGGGTGCTCTCCTGAGAGGAAAGCTGACAGCCACCCGCCCCTTCAAGGAAGGACATTAAACTGTCCTACTAGATGCCTTGGATGTCTTTCAAACCCAGAATCTGACTTGGGGAGAGAAACAAGAAAAATGTTGGGTGCTTCCCAGGAATGAGAAGCTGGCAGTTCCCCCAGGAACAACTCCTTCCCACAGACACTTCCAATGACAATGCGTGTGGTGGTGGTGATGGTGATGGTGGCCTTGATGGTCATCGTCGTTGTGATGATGATGATAGCACCTTCCATTTATTTGGAGCATCATTTCTCAACCCTGACTGCACATTAGAACCTCCTTAGTCTTCTTTTGTTTTTTTAAAACACCTTATCAGAACCCCACCCCAAAACAGTGGTTTTAGAACTCTAATGGTAAGGCTGGCTCCTGCATTGGTATTTTTGAAAAGCTCCTCAGAATATTCTAATATTGCAGCCAGGGTTGAGCACCACTGGTGTGCTTTCATAGCCTGTGATTACAAGTAGCTCCTTATTTAATCCTTGTGATAGTGCAAAGAGTTAGGTGTTACTGTTCCCCTTTCCAGACAGGGAAACTGAGTCCCCAGTGATTCACCAAGGTCTCACATCCAGGCCTCCTGACTCACATGACCTCCCAGCCTCCCTCCCAATTCAGCATCCAAAGAGAGACATAGCTACCTGGGCTTTAGTGCTTCTGCACACGCTTAGCTGCTCATGTGTTCCCAATGCCCTCTTCCTTATGGCCAGCCCTGGTTGTCTGTTTTTCCTCCTTGAAGATCATTTCCCACTTGGATCCTTCCATGTTCACTGCACCCAGCCCTCCTTCACACACAACACATACTCAGATATACCTGCTACTTTTCAGTCAGCTTCTGATAAAAAGCCCAGTTGTTTTTGCCTTGGGAGATGACTCAGAATCCATTCATTGCACTGGGCAGCTCTCCTCAGTGTCTCCCAGAATCCATTGTGCTGGCAACTTCACAGAATCCCAGAATCCATTTCATCCAGGTTAGTCTGGAAGGTGAGGCAGCCCCATCCCACCACCTAGATTGGGGTCAGGCAGGGGAGTGAGCAAGGAAGGGTCCCCAGCTCCCTGAGCTGCAATGAAGTACTCTAAGCTTCACTTTATTTACACAGAGGAACACAGATGTCATCACCAGGGGTAAAGACCATGGCAGAGTCAGCTGCCACTGCTGCTGCTACTTCTAATCTTGGTTAGGCTGCAAGAGTAGGGATGCTATAGCATCCGTGCTAATGTCAGTGGGCTTTCATCTGGGGTCAAACAGACCTGTGGGGCCTCCTGGGTGAGAGAAGGTCTGTAGGGACCTTGGGTTGGAATGACCCTGATGCTCTGTCCGGGTATATTGGGGGTGGATACCAGCACTTGGGGCTGGATTTCAAGACTGGAAAAGCAATTCTACAATGTGTCGCATTGTGTGGGAGAGACCTGGCCTCTCTGTCAGACCGAACTGGGTTTGAATCCTGACCCCACTGCTTATTAGAACGTGGCTTTGGATAAGTTACTTAATCTCTCTAAGCCTAAATTTCTGCCTCTAAAATGGAGATAATGGTAGTTCTTACCTCAGAGGGAGAATTAATGGGATAATCTAGGTTAAACACTACTGTGGCGCCTGTCATTTAGTAAGTGCTCAGTAAGTGTTAGTTATTATTGTTGTCATCATTTCATCCCCCAAGTTAGGGAAGAAAGGATGTGCAGTACCTTTTTGTGGGAACAGGAATCATCTGAGGCTTAGGATTCCAGGAGGGGGACTCTCCCTTGAAAATCTGGAAGTTGAGGTGGGGGGGGGTCTTCCCCTTCTCCCTCCTCCTCGCTTTCTAGTAGCTGCCCCGAAGGAAGGTCAGGCCCAGCTGCTGAGGAGCATGGCCCATTTTAGCTTTGGTACTCTGTCATCATGTTATATTTTAAATAGACTGCTTCCTGCAGCATGTTCCACAGGGCTCTGCAACGTGGTCTGGGCATAAATTAAGTGACAGGGAGAAAACTCAGATCTAGCAGCACCATAGTTTCCCACAGGCACGCCTGTGAGCTCAGATAGATAGATACATGAATGGGTAGAGAGAGACGCAGTGTCTCTCAAGATGTGGGTGAAGGTCAAGGAGGGCAAGGACAGCAAGGGGAAGTCTGGCAGCAAAGGCTACCACTTTCAGTCTTACGGGTCAGGGGACATCTTTTCATGGACCTGGTTTCATGTGACCCTGATGGGATCACAGCCCCATGATGAAACTGTTTGGAAAGTAATAGAAGCAGACATGATAAGCTTCCTGGTGATCTTTGTTGCTGTAGAGCAGTTGGTCTGCAAATCTCCTCAAAGTGTCCTTAGCTGGTACCTGGGGAATAAGTGCAAGTGACCCAGAGGCTCAGGTGGCCAAGATGGGAGGCCTGCTGTCCTGCAGATGGGGGCATAGCTGGCCTGGAGGGTTTCAGAGAGGGCCTGCTGGGATGGGAGCTGCTGAGGACCACATCTGTCCTGGCAGCCACTGGGGATATGACCACATCTTTCCTGACGCGTTGTGGGTGGAGTTTCCAGAACCTCAGTCAGGGAGTGGATCTGACATGGAAGAGTTAAGATCCCCTTGATTCTTGGATGTGCAGGAAGCCCGCCCAGTTATCCTGACCTCGGCACTCCAGGCACTGACCCTACTTTTTGCTGGTTTTGGCCTCCTATCACGGCTTGGCCCGTTTTGCAGTATTTGTTGGCTCAGTCCTATCTTCCTCTTCATTTCAGAAATTCCGGGTAGATATGCCTGGCTCAGGCAGCGCCTTCATCCCTACCATCAACGCCATCACGACCAGTCAGGATCTGCAGTGGATGGTGCAGCCTACGGTGATCACTTCCATGTCCAGCCCATACCCCCGCTCGCACCCCTACAGCCCGCTGCCAGGCCTGGCCTCTGTCCCCGGGCACATGGCCCTCCCGAGACCCGGCGTGATCAAGACAATTGGCACCACGGTGGGCCGCAGGAGGAGAGATGAGCAGGTACAGTTCCGTTCGGGAGCCACATCAGTGGCTTTATAATGCAGAGTGTTTTCCTGCAGACTGGTGAGGAGCAGGGTGTGTGTTCTGGGAGCACTGGGGAGATGAAGGAACTCAGGACCCTCATCCTTGGAGGCAGAGCGTGCGACCTGAGAGTCAGGCATCTTGCCCATGTCCTTAGAATCTCTGAGTCTCAGTTTCCTCAGCTGCAAAATGGGGATGGTGTCTTGCCAGCCAGGACTTGCTGCCACTGGAATGAGATAATGGTGGCAAAGCACATGGTGAATGATGAGGTGTCAGCGCATGGGTAGGACTGTTAGGACCTGCCTGCAGCAGTATCCTCTGATCCTTGGCAGAGGGACCGTGGGACAAGCAGCCGATGAACCCTGGCTGGGAGTTTTTGTGGGCTTCTCCCTTAAGTGTCTCCTAGTACCTAACATGGGCAAGAACCCAGCTGTCCTAGAGGGGCCCCCCTCCAGGCCAGTACTGCCCATGGTGTGTCCATCGCCCCTCCATGTCCCAGGCCTCCAACTCGAGGCGGGAGCCTATTTCAAGTGCCTGGGATACACGTTCCGGAAGTGCATCTGGGACCCTGGGGTCTTTGGAGTCTGCTCAGCTCCTTAAGCTCCAGGGACATGCCGGGAAGTGGGGAGTCAGGCAACAGCAGCCTTTTTTCCCCTCAAGGGGCTTAGCTTTGAGCAGGAGCCAACCTGGCTTGGAGGGATGCCAGAAAGGGGCGGGGCCTCTGCTCTCTAGATAACATCTACCCAAGACTCCAAAGGCCCGTCATCTGTATTAACAGACAGTGGGGCAGTGATGGCCCCCCCGCTTCCCAAAAGAGAAATCAGAGTCATGCATAATTCTAGAAAGGAGGGGATGAGACTTGTAAGAGCCCCACCTGTCCCCTTTCACAGATGACACAGCCAAACAGCTATCTGGGGCTACTTGGACAGTGAGTGGGGAAGTGTGGTCTAGAATCAGGCCTCTGGGGTTCCACCCCTCTCCAGTGCTCTTTCTACAATACCATGCCACTGTGAGTCCAAGGAAGGGAAATTCTTTAGTAGCAGAATCCCTTTTTCAACTGAAATGTTAGACTGGAGAATTACTTTGATTACAGCTTTGGAACCCCTTCCCATTTCAGCCACTGTCCACCTCCACTCTGGGATCCCCAGGCCCACAGTGTTCCAATACAAGGACCTTTCAGACGTGGTGCCCAGTGGATAACTGTGGATCCAGTGTCACTACTCCCCTTGCCTGTGTGCTAAGTCACTTCAGTTGTGTCTGATTCTTTGTGACCCTATGGACTGTAGCCTGCTAGGCTCCTCTGTCTATGAAATTCTCTAGGCAAGAATACTGGAGTGGGTTGCCATGCACTTCTCCAGGAGATCTTCCCCACCCAGGGATCGAACCCAGGTCTCTTATGTTTCCTCATTGGCCGGCAGGTTCTTTACCGCTAGTGCCACCTTAGAAGCCCACCACTAGTCCCCAGGACACTTAGAATTACAAGGATCACTGCTTTGAGGAACCAGATGCTTTCACACAAGTCCTGTTCCTTTGAGGACAAAGCTGGGCCTTGTATCCACTACTTGTTGGCTTGTTCTCTTAATGGCAGGACCCTGTGCAGGGGCAACATGGGGGGAGATGTGTGTAATAGACACTAACAGACAGTTCCCAGGTCCTGTTGGGCTTTTGCTCCTGGGGCAAGTGGCCAATATCCCCCCACACTGCTGCTTCCATACTTGTAGTTATAAATATGCAGTAGCAGCAATTCCAGTGTCCTCTATAAGTGTGCTTCCTTCAGGGAGCTCAGGGTACCAAGCTTTATACTCACTGGTGATCTGGTTTCTCCTGGTATGTAAAGGACCCCTTATCCTTTACAAGCTAGGCTTGTGAGGGACTCCCAGGTTAGCGGGACAGCCAAGCAAGATGTGCTAAATACTCTTCATTCTTTTGTCCAACTCTTTGCAACCCCATGGACTGTGGCCTGCCAGGCTCCTGTGTCCATGGAATTCTCTAGGCAAGAACACTAGTGTGGGTAAGCCATTCCATTCTCCAAGGGATCTTCCCAACCCAGGGATCCAACCCAGGTCTCCTGCTTTGCAGGCAGATTCTTTACCATTTGAGCTACCAGGGAAGTCCTTTGTCTGGACCCAGGTCACACCAAATTTGCAAGATTAGAGAGGAAGAGACTTTGGAGACTGGTTTTTCTAAAATTCCCTCTGCACCCATTTTACAGATGAGGAAACTGAGGCCTAGAAAGAAGGGCCTTGCCCAGGCTCAAGCAGTGAGTGGCAGCAGAGCCAGGACTGGAATCCACTCCCTTTGACCTTCAGCCTTGTGATTTTTCCCGTCATACCACCCAGGCGTGCCCTTGGAGACTTTCCTTCCATTTTTGAGAGAGAAGGAGAGAGCCAGGAACATTTTATCCCATGTCAATTAGTTCAGACCATCATTCGGCAGCTTGGAGGAAGCCTAGGCAGCATCCTAGAACTTGGCTCTTTGGGTTCCTAGCTCTAGGGTCTTTTCTCTGAGGCTCACTTCCGCCTTCCCAGCCTCCCCCAGGGGGCAGAGGCTGTTATGGCGCTGGCCTGGTGCCTCACTGCCCTCCTTCAGGGCCTGCCCCAGAGGCTCCCTCTGAGGCCAGCAGTGGCGGGGAAGGGAGGGTGTGTGTGGCTTGTGGGTGGCTACGTGGTGGTGTGACACACTCATGCTGTAACCATATTGTCACCGCCCCTGAACACTTCCTATGCCAGGAGCTCCCACAAGTTGCCCTGTACCTCACCAGATAGGAGAGAAACTTCTGAGGCACTGGGGAGGCCAGAACCTGTCCAGGGGGGATGGAGGCAGAAGTGGATCAGGACCAGCTCTCTGTCTTGTCTGCCCCTCGTCAGTGAGGGAGTGGGGTGCTAGTGGGGTGCTACCAGGAGCCCTGGTAGTCTTTTGATGCTGAGCCCTGAACCTGGGGCTGCAACAGGGCCATCGGGCTCTCTCGGTCCCTCTCGGGCTCAGGCTGAGATGGATTTTGGAGCGGCAGGTATTCAGGGCCTTGGCCAAGTGGCCTTTTGTGACCTCAGCCTGTGATCCTCTGGGATCCCACAGAGAATAGGGTGCCCCAGCCTGTGTTCTCTGGGTGTCTGATTGATTTGCTGCTCAGTGAGTGCAGCAAGGGTATCAGAGAGGAGACCTCTGGACTGCGTCGTTGTCTTTCCAGCACTTTCTGGTTTAGAGAGGACTCTCATACTGTGTCTCATCTGATCCCTGCAGAAACTTCATGGGAGGCAGGGCAGGTCCTATTAACCCCACTTTCCAAATGAGGATCTGAGGCTCGGAGGGTCGTAATCTGTCTGGGTCCTCCCAGAAGTGCCACATCTGCATTTGGCCCTGAGCCACCTGACACCTCTCAGGAGAGAGACCATGGAGCCATCAGCTTTCCCGGGGAGGCGGAGCAGGGGCTTGAGGAGGGAAGTGGAGCCAGGATCCAGTGTGGGTTCAAAGACCAGGCCTTTGTAAGAGGGTTGAAGACTAACAGGAATGTAATGTTACCAGCTGGATGGGCTCAGGTCAGTGCGCCCCACGTGGAGGCCGCTGCAAGGACAGATGATGCTAGGGAGGGACACGGTGATGCCATGCCCTGCTCTGCAGGCAGCTTCCTGGGGACTCTGGCCTGGGCCCAGCCCACGGAGTGGCTCCCTCACTTGCAAGCTGGCTGGAGGTCCAGACGGCATCCCTCAGTGGGGGTGGCTTCTCTCTCAACCCCTCCAAAAATGGCTTTGGCCTTTTCCCTACATGTCCCTTGAGGGGAGGACTTGGGCCTTACTGCCCCCAGAATCTTCTAAGCCACCAGTACATCACTTGGCACCTAGGTGGTGTGCTGTTAGGGTCTGATCACTGAAGGAGGGGGTCTTTCCTTTTGAATTCCTTCCTGCCTTGGCCCACAGCCATCTCCTCAAATCACCTCTGGAAGGGCTCTATGTAAACAGAGTATCAGCCCTGTTGGTGAAGCAGAGTTCTTGCCCTCTGGCCTGATGAGCTGCAGGCCCCCAACCAGCTTCCCAGTGAGGAGCTAGGTCATAAGCTCTGCAGGTGGATTTTTGTTCATTCGGTGCGCTGACACATCTCTAACCCCTCAAACCATGCATGGCATGTTGAAGGGCTGGTTGGTTGAATGAGTAGATGTGGTGGGCAGCAGGGTTTTAATCTGCCCCAGGGCTCCGCTTCCTTTTTCCCCATCCTGCCCAATCCAGCACTGTGCCAGGCACACTGGTGAGTCCTCTGGGTTGAACTGCGAGCAGCCAGCACTTGAGGGCTGGCAGAGGGATTTGGGAGTGGGGTGGCTCTCCCGCCCGCCCTCTGGCAAGAGAACATGACCACCCCCCCACCCCGGGTGGTTCTTACTCTGGGCCCAGCTACATAATCAAGTGGGGATAATGAGGCTTGCAGAGCAGGCAGAGTGTTGGGGAGGAGTAATTAGGCCGAGTTGGGAGGAAGCTGCTTAAGTGGGTGGGGCCAGGCCTGGCACGAGGGGACTCTCTGGGGAACGGTCCCCGCTCATTCTCTAGGCTCTTGGCACTGAATCAGGGCCGACATGACACATGCTGCCATCATGCCTGGGCTGGTGAGTCTCTGACCCATGGCTACCCTGCTCTCCCTTCAAACATGTGACATCACCTTCTGGGGGCTGGGGTTTAGTTCTGAGTGCTCCCCCGACCCCCAGGCACCCAAACTGGGGTGAGGTACATGTTCTGGGGCCCCTGAGCCACGTTCCTCTTGCCTTCCTCCTTTGCCGCCTGGTCCCAGAAGGGCTTCTTCCCCTACTTACAATGCGGTTAAAAACGGAAAACCTTGGTGAGCCACGCACCCGAGCCTAACCGTGATCCTTGGCCCCGGCCTCTAGCTGTCCCCTGAAGAAGAGGAGAAGCGTCGAATTCGGAGGGAGAGGAACAAGCTGGCTGCGGCCAAGTGCCGGAACCGCCGCCGGGAGCTGACGGAGAAGCTGCAGGCGGTGAGGAGCCCTGCGTGGGGTGGGCACGCTCCTGGGTGGGCTGGAGCTGGGACCCCAGGGCTCCCGGACCTCTCCCTGCCCTCCCTCACCCCTAGTGACTGACAGGAGGGTTAGTGTGGGCAGAAGCATTCCTTCTTCTGAGCACATGGGTCAGCCCTGCCCTGATTTGAAGGAGGGGGGATGGGGAGAAGGGAGCTGGCCTTTATCACCCAGCCTGGACCCAGACAGAACTGGACGAGCTTCTTGGGCCTGGCACCCTGTCAACCTCAGCACCCAAAGGATCCTGTGCTGAGACCTGCTGGGGCTCCTGGGCAAGAGATGGCAGAGGGTGTCGCCGTTGCCGGCCAGGAACCAGGCAGGCCCAGGCCTGCCCACTCCAGGATTCTTCTTCCCAGGCTCCAGTCGCCCCCATGCCTGCCTGCCTGCCTGCCGCCGGCAGGAGTGGCCCAGCCTGGCTTCAGCCATCTGGTTCTCTGGGCTTCTCCACCTCTGCAGGGTCTTGGCGCTCCCTGGGTCTCATGGGGATGGATCATAGCCAGCTGAGTTGTACTATCTTGGGGTTTTCTCATATCCTCCGTGGGCGGGAGGGTTCCCCACCTCTGCTCTGAGCCCGAAGCTGTCACCTCATTGGTACCTCATTCTGCCCTGTGAGTCATTCTCCCCCGCTGCCTAATTGCCCCCACCTGGGGGCCCTCAGCCCCGCCCTTCCCTCCCCAAACCTTGACCTGACCGACATCACGTAACTCCCTCCAGGAGGGGCCGTGTGGAGGAAACCCAGAGCCAGGACTGACTCTTCCTGGGTGGAATGTTTTCCAAGTAAGGAGATGAGGTGGACTGTGTCAGCGGTCCTTGCACTGAGCAGCTAGGTTGAAGCTCTGGAAATTGCAATGGCCTTGCACATCCTATTATTTTGTTTAATCCTCCCGGCTACCATTCCCCTGCTTCCACTTCCCTTTGTCCATCCCGGAGCCCTCGTTCGTGGGCCTTAAATGTGTACCGGGTGAATTCTGTGATGCCCGTAGTAGTGCCCTGTGGAGGTGTTAGAGGCGGCAGGAGAAGTGGGAGCTCTCCGATGCCAGGTGGGACGGATCCATTAGTGATCAGCACTCCCCGGGAGACACCCAGGAGAGCCCTCCCCACTGCTAACCTTTCAAGGAGCCATATCCCCCTGGGTCTACCCCCAGGTGCTTCTGCCACCAGCCCCAGAATAGCCTGCCCCCCGAGGCCCCTCGGTTTTCCTCCCCTCTCTCCCCTTGAAGCCTCACACCCTACGCCCCCGCCTCCCCACGACCCAGCCCCCCAGGCCTCTGAGCCACATCCTGCACAGGAAGCCTCTCAGAAGCTCATGACGTTCATCAGACCCTTGAGACAGATGGAAAGTTTTTTTCACTCCGGAATATGCTGTACTCTGCTTAGCGAAGCTCTGGCCCATGTCATCTCGTTCTCAAACAGGAATCTGTGTTCGGGAAAAGTGGGGAGGAGGCTGGTGACACGTACCTCTCCATAACTTCCGTGACGACCTCCCCACCCCCTGCCACCATGTGCATCTGTTGCTTCTCTGGCTTTGTGTGAAAGGAGGGGCTGAAGTCCTTGCAGAGGGTCCCTGCTGGCCCTATTTGCCCACTCAGGCTGGCAGGGGTCTCATCTGTTGAAGCATGGGGCCTGAACTGAATGTTCTCCTGGGGTTCTGTGAGTCCTGAAGCATAGGCTTTCTACTTAAAGCAAAAAAAGGGAAGAGGGGCAGGAAAGATCCAGTGGGATGGAATGAGTGCTTCCTACAAGCCAGCTACTCCTAGGCTTGTGTGTGCAGGCAAATATCCAGTCATGTGGCTCAGAGTTCAGTGTCGATATGTCCATGGCGAGCCGGAGGGTCTTGAGGAGGCATGGGGAGAGAGGGGTGCAGCTGCCTGCTCTGCTCCCTTCCCCTGCCAGGTCTCACTATTACTCACCCCCTCGGGATACCAGGGGCGGTCTTAACAGAAAAGCATAGTAGCACGTGGACTCTGCAATCAGATACATTGGAGTCAGATCCAGGCTACCCTATCTGCTTGCTCTGTGCCATTGGGCAAACGATTAAACCTCTTGGAAACTCAGTTTCATATCAGCACGCAGTCATGGCCACTACAAGGGTTGATTCGCCCTTCCTCCAAGCTGACTTACCTCTCCTCTCAATCTGGAGTTGTGGAAACAGAAGGAATCCTGAACATGCAGGTGGCCCAGAAGCAGTCGGGTGTGAGCTCGCTAGCTTCATGGTCAGCCCTCTGAGGACCGTGTTTGGTTTTCCCTCTCTCACCCAGATTTGACACCCCCGGCCCATCCCCCACCATCCCTCACAGACCCCTCTTCCCCTGCAGGAGACGGAGGAGCTGGAGGAGGAGAAGTCGGGCCTGCAGAAGGAGATTGCCGAGCTGCAGAAAGAGAAAGAGAAGCTGGAGTTCATGCTGGTGGCCCATGGGCCCGTGTGCAAGATCAGTCCCGAGGAACGCCGGTCCCCGCCAGCCTCCGGGCTGCAGTCCCTGCGCGGCGGGGCCAGTGGAGGGGTCGGTGCCGTGGTGGTGAAACAGGAGCCCCTGGAAGAGGACAGCCCCTCTTCCTCATCGGCGGGGCTGGACAAGGCCCAGCGCTCCGTGATCAAGCCCATCAGCATTGCTGGGGGCTTCTATGGCGAGGAGCCCCTGCACACCCCCATCGTGGTGACCTCCACTCCTGCCATCACTCCGGGCACCTCGAACCTCGTCTTCACCTACCCCAGCGTGCTGGAGCAGGAGTCGCCAGCATCGCCTTCTGAGTCCTGCTCCAAGGCTCACCGCCGAAGCAGTAGCAGTGGGGACCAGTCATCAGACTCCTTGAACTCCCCTACTCTGCTGGCTCTGTAACCCAGCTCCCAGGGGCGGGGGTGGGGGTCCTCGTCACTGCCTCCTGCCCAGGGACCAGCACCTTCCAGCACTCCAGGGCCATGAGGGGAAGAGGGGGACCCTGCCAGAGAGCTTCCTGGCTCTGGGGAGACCCAGGTGGGATTTGGTGGTGAGTCGCCAGAGGACTTGGATGAGCTCTTGGATGTCACAGGACCTCCTCCTCCCTCGTCCGTCTCGCGAAGCAAATCCTGTTTCTTGAAAAACATTGGAGAACTTGGTTTGGTGGACTCGGGCATCTCCCTGGCTTCTGAAGAGCTTGAAGCTGGTGTGGACCTTTCCTGTCCCTTGGTTCCGACGTGTCTCTGGAGTGATGGCGTCCTTCCCGCCCCACCGAGCATGCTCAGTGCCTTTTTGGTTTCACCTTCCCTCTGTTTGCCCCTTCCTTCCCCCAGTGTCAATTTCACTTCCTCTTAGTTTTTTATCGAATTTGCCATGACATTTCATCTGGGTGGTCTGAATAGTAAAGCTCTTCATTTCTGAAGAGGGGGCAGCAGGGTGACTCTTTGGCTGGGGCTGACTTGTCCAGAAGGGGACAGTCCATGTGCAATACAGAACCTTCCCTCCTCTGACACTTCTGGTCCACCACCATCTCCAGAACTGCCAGCAGGGCTCCTTGAGCTCTCCAGGAGAGGCCACCATCACTAGGAGATTTGGAGGACCCTTCCTCCCCATCCTCGGAGACGGCTTTTGGAGGAGCAGCTCGGCCAGAAGACAGGGTGTGAGTGAGACAGCTGGGGCACGGATTGGGTTTGCCAAATGCCTAATTACCAGGCCAGGAATGGCCAGGAATAGTGCCAGCGAACTACACGTTGTGTCCCAGCCAGCCTCTCTTCACCCATGTCTTGAGTAGGACGTCTCTTGTAATTACCGCCTCGTCATTCTGCCCCGGACCCTTCTCTCCTTCCTTCCTCGGAGCCACACATCACTCCAAGTCCCTGCCGGCTCCACCCTCCCCCAGCCTGCCTCTCAGGGCGATGCCACCCGTGGAGGTTTAATGAGCGTGGGCCCTCCCCAAGCCTCAAAATCACCTCTGCTGTGGATGGAGAGGCCGGGGGAGGAAGGAGGGAGGCAGTCGGAGTGGCGTTTGCCTCGCAGCAGCCCCAGCGCCTGCTTCTCGCCTCTCACCGAGGTGCTGGGCCGTGCTACCCTCTGTGGTCATCTGCTACCTGATGGATCTCTCGCTTTTTCTCTTACACTCCCCTGCCCCCTCCCCCAGTGTGCTCCCCAGGTCCACCAGCTGGCTGTGAACAGCTGGCCCAGAGCTGTTGTTGTGGCTTGCAGCTTACGAGCCATTCCCCAGGGGCTGCTGAAATTAGAGATGAATCCCAATGCAAGAGAGCTGCCCCTTCCCGTGGGGTGGAGGATGGGGAAAGGGGGTCCTCCAGTCCCCCGGGAGCACAGCTCCGCAGAGCTCCGTGGAGTCCCTGCCTGCCACCCCTTGGAGCCTTTTTTTTCTCCCCAAGGCTGGTCTTCCAGCTTTGGCCTCTGCTGGACTAGTGCTATGAGGGAGGCCCCGCTATTGTGATTCAGCTCTAGAGATCATTGTATGATAATTTAAAACTATATAGATATTATTTAAATCAACCCAGTGGGGGTTAAATCTCAAAGTTGGACTCGGGAGAGAGAAAAAGCGATGACATGGTTGCTCACCTGTTCCCTTCACGGACCCAGGCCTGGCACGCCGGCTGGTATTTAATGTTCATTACTCATTTGCCATGCCCTAGACACACAGAATGGAACAGCCCAATGCCTAAAATACACAGCCCACTATGACTGGGAGTGATGTGTGGAGGGGTAGGGCTTGCAAAGAGAGGAGACTAAAAGAAACAGGATTTTTCCCCCAAATGCTTTAAATATGTTATTTCCCACATTCCTTGGCTGTGACGCTGCCCCCCAGTTCCCCAGAGGTTCTGGGAGGGGCGCTTCTAATAAGATGGGGCCTTTGGGTTTCTGGCTTCAGATTAATCAAGGACACAGAAGTCAGCTAGGAGTAGCAGGAGACAGGCAAAAAGAACTGGGGTGAACTCAGCTCTGAAAGACTTAATCATCTCAAGTGGTGTTTGTGGCCAACTGGGAGCTATTTACTTCTTTTTGAATATATGTATTATATATTTCTTAAATGAAGCTGCTCTCTGGTGTTTTGTTTCTAAAGTCCCTTTGTGCCCCACTTTGCACAGCCCTGATCCCAAGGCAGGCCCCGGCATGTGACTTGGGGCCAGGCTGGATATTCCTGAGACGGAGTCTGGCTTTAGTTCAGATTTCAAACTGCATTGGCCTTGAGACCAGCAGAAAGCAAGAACCCAGCCGACTTGCAGGACTTCGAGGCCTCTGAGCTGTGTTTCTATTCAGGACCCTCTAACTTTGTTCTCGGAGATAGTTTGGCTTCCCCAAAGCCAGAGGTTATTTGGAGAAGGCTGAATATTCACTCTTAACTCATAGGCATATCCTCAGTCACTGCCTTCTGGCTGGTTCTCTAAAGCTGCTGCCAGACACCAGGCCTGCTACTTCCTCCTCCTTCCTTTCTCCTCCTCATCGGGAGCAGCGGCAGGGGGAGCCTTTGGACTTGGGCAGGGAACCCCGTGCCCCCCTGTGTCCCCAGCCGTGAGGCAACTGGTGTGGACTCCAGTTGGGCTGCAGGCAGCTCTGGGACAGCATAGGGCAGGCACTCCTTGACAGGCTGGTGTGAAACACATAGTCCCCTTGGCCACCTGGCCGCCTCTTGGGAACAGCCCTCTTCCTGTCGAGTGGATGGGGACAGCTGCTGACACAGGACAGAGAGGCGATCCCAGGTGAAGCTTAGGCAATTACCAGAACCAACTCAAAGCAGAGAATTCACTGGGGAAGTTTTCAGGAAGAAATAATTTTTCTGCCTGTGAGACTGGCCAGGTGTCTTCACTGTGGCCCATCACACAAGCATCTCAAAGCCAGGAACCATCAGAGGCTACTGGTTCCCTTTCTCAGGCTTTGGGGAAGGGATCTCCTCTCTGTTCCCACTAGGCTCCATTTTAAGGTTGAGCTCAACTTACAGGCATTGGGACTTTTCTCCCCTTTCCTTGATGGACCAACAGTACTTCTTGCAATCTCACCTTGTAACTTTTAGGTTGATTTCCTCCCTTGATCAGACATCCATGTGGCCTCTTTAAGAAGGAAAAGAATAGCACCTACTATGTGCCAGGCACTGTTAGGCACTTTTATATATATATATATATATATACTCTCTTTAGGGTGAGACTACATGATGAGGACTTCCCTTATTAAAGGCCCACCACTAATGGATCAACAAAAACACTTGTAGGTGAGAACGTCTTTCTCCAAAGATCCAAGGCAAGATTGCCTTCAGTCTGAGGTTTGTTCTCAAAGACCCACCCCCTACAATATCCTCCCACCTCTGAATTTGTTTCCCCTGTGATGTGCTCCTTTGCACTCATCAGATGCTTAACCTGAGTCCTTATAGAATTTGTGGGCCAATAGGATATGTGGTGTGTGTAACTTTCTTTTAAAAACTTAAGTAAAGTGGTCTTGCTACTTTCTGCTTGTTGAGTCTTCTTGGCATTCAATCTTAAAAGCCAGCATCTCACTATTTATTGACGGGTTGTGTGTATGTGTGCGTGCGTGCGTGTGTGTGTGTGTATACATTTCTAGGTGTGCCCATGGTCCTCCTGCACCTTTTAAAAAGGAAACCCAGTCACCTCACTACCTATTTGACATCTTCTCATGCTTCTAGTATATTGGTCATACATCAACAAAGGGTTTTAATTTTCTAATGCTGACATGTTCAGGAGGAGCTGGGTCAAATTTTGAGCAGGGCATGGGAAGGGAAGGGGGAGAAGTAATTGACATTTATTTTATTATTTATTTTAAATGTTTACATCTTTGTAGCCTGAATAGAAACAGATAGCATTAAAATGCTCAGTTCCTCTCTCCCTCTCTTTCTTCTTTATAATTTTTTTTTTACTTTAGGCTAATGATGCTTTGTTGTTTCTAAAATGATTTGTGACTTGTGCTGTATAAACTGTATAAAAAAAGGTTCTGTTTTTAAAGATGGTGTGTCATTCCCTCTGGGGACAGTGGTCACCAAGAACTCTAAAAGAGAACATAAGGAAAGATCCTGCTCTGTTCCTCAAAAATTATTTTCTGTGTATGATTAAAAGTTTATTCCATTTATTTTAGTTTGTGGTTACTTGATGTCGAGGAAGAAAAAATTTCACGTTTGTATAAAGAATAGGTATCAGGGTGTCTTTTCTGAAGTGAAAGATGTATATATAGTATTTTGGTATATTGTGGCAAATCAAAAGCTTTGTGCATCTGTATTTGAGGTATGTTGATGATGTGGAATAAAGACTGCTCTAAGATTCTGGAGGTAAAAAAAAAAAGTTGTACAAGATTCCTACAGCTTGATGGGGAATTATCTTTCTGAGCACCTTGTCTTTTTTTTTTTTTTTAAAGTATTGGTGAAATGGTCCCATTGGAAAGGCTTCTAAATAGGCCTCTCCAGGCAGGACTATGAGCTCAAAAATCTTTGTATAGTTTTGAAATTTGAGGAGTAGCTCAGCTCTGAAGCATCTCTGGTGGTGTTTTGTTGTTGTTCTGTTTTGTTATTTTACTGTAATACAAGCCTACAGTATTTGCACTAAAGAAAGCTTGTTAGAAAAAGCTTGCTGCTATGGAAGAAAGAACATATTACAACTTTTTTTCCTTTTTTTTTTTTTGTTAGCTTTTTCACTTTCCATTGAGTAGCTTTTTGTAGAATAAAATGAATTAAGATTGAAGAGCCTCTGATGGTTGGTTTATTCTATCTTCCTATCTTTCCTGTCACTTCTCTTTTTTCCTTCTAGGCTTTTCTACCTTTGGCTCCGCGGGCAGAGTTGGTCTTTTTGTTGGGAATGGGGAAGCAGGGAACAACTCCCTGGGAATCTCTTTCGGCAGAATTAGAAGGTGAGCTGCTGGGGGTGGGGCTGCTTAGACCTTCCTCATCTCCTTTCTCATGCTTCTTTCTCTTTACCCTCTCCAATCCCTCCCAGTCCTATTTCCCACTTCTTAGGGCCTGATTCTCAGCTAGCTGCCAAGTACTGCTAAGTGCTAGCCACTAACAGTTTACAGGGCTGTCCCTTCCTGGGGGCACTTTGGATTTTGTTTCAATAAAATTGACTCTGGAGACTTGAGAATCTTCAAAAAGCCAATTTAAGGTATTACTCAGAGGGTCCAGGTGGTTGCATGAGGTCATGCGCAGGCCTCTGGAAACAACCAAGGCATGTACATAAGTGGGACGATCACATCTCCGGATGTCCTTTTTGAATAGACACAGGTTGGTGGGTGTGGAACACTGAGAAGTGTCAGCCAGGCCCTGCTGCCCAGGAAGCCGGGGGTAAATGGGAGTGTCTGTCCTGGGTGCTCTTCCCCTGCAGTGTAAAGGCTAGGGAGGCACATGTGTCAGTGGTCAGCAGTCAGGATGGTCGGCAGCAGCTGAGCGTTAGGTGCTGAGTTAACACCACTCACTCCTAATCTGCGGAAGAGGAGCCCAGAGTGAAGTCCTCATTCCTTGGAGGACCCAAAAGCTCTGGGCTGTGAGAGTTACGGGCACTTTGAATCCTAGCCCTGCCCCTCTACTCGTAATCTCTCTGAGCCAGAGTTTCCTCTCTGTAAAGGGGGAGGGTAATGATAGTGCTGTGGGAAACCCCATGTTTTATCTTCCCATTTTGAGAAGGCCTGGGGTATGAGGGAACCGGACATTCAAAGTTCTTGGCACTGGGCCTCCCAGCAACAAATTCTGCCTTAGCAGACACACAGGCCGTGGTACCCGGGGTGTCTCAGTGGTACCTGCATTTTTCTGAGCAGTTGATATGGCTCTTTTTGGTGTAAGTGTCGAGGAGGGAGATGCTGGGAATGTTCACATTGGCTTCAGTCGGCTTTCCGGGTTACGCTGTCCTGAGAGAAGCATGTGTTTCTGCTTGCCTCTCATGCCTAGGTGCTTCTGTCACATTTTTCATCTTCCAGTAACACTTCGAAATCTCCTTCGTTTGTTTGAATTCCCACCTCTTCGCCCACATGGCAATTAGAGAGGTTGGTGATTGCCAGGTGCTTATTAAGTGGAGTCATAAGTAGTCCTGCTTCTTTGGGCAGCTGTAAATGCCTTAAAAGCATGCAGAGAGCTTTTTAGTTTTTTTTTTTTTAATTGAGAAAAACAATAAGGGGACACCTCCACTGGGTTTCAACAGGGTCTGTTGGGGAATTCTGCAATTCCACCTGAGTCTAGGCTGTCTTGGTCCAAACTGGTTCAGTGATCTGGGTTGATGGTAAATGCTGTCGATTACTTTTCTAACAAAGTTGGAGTTCTTCGGACTGAGTGGGTTCTCTCCCAGGAAAGACGTCTTGGTGAGGAGCTCCCAGGGCCGTCCCCTATGCTGGACCTAGAGTTTCCCAACTGGATGCTTGTCACTGGGCTTTCTTTGTTTACTGGACCGCCGCTGGGTAAGGGAACAGGAATTTCCCCTGGAGTTGCTATTTTCCAAGGCTGTCAGCAATGCT